TACTTTGACCGAGCTCTCCCATCTCCTCCTGGAGGGCAGGGACCATGTCTTCTTCATTCAGCTTTGTGTGTCCACCACACAGCACAGTGCCCAGCACCTGGAGGGAGCATGATAAAAGTCTGTTGAAGTGCAAGAGCTCAAGCTTGCTATAGAGGCCAAAAGAGAACAGAGGGTTGTAGTTTAAGTCTACATAGATGTGAGTAGACTAAGATGATGAGCACAGCTTGATGGGGTGTGTTGTTGACTAATGTGCCTTCGTGTTTTTGTAAAGATGATTTCTTCAGTGACGCTCCTCGGGGTAACATACTCAGAACAAACATAGTCAAAGTTAGGCTGGGTGAGGTCTTTCTCTAGGAGTCCATCTCCTCTCAACTCTCCAGGGACCTGAGTTCTGAAAAGATTAAAAAAAACAAAGTCAAAATGAGGAATAGCCAACAAGGTCATTGGGAATAGGATGGGAGTAAGAGGACAGGGAGGTGTGGGAGCCAGGTTTCGGTCCTCCCATCCTTGAATGACAGACAAGTAGGACTTCCTTAGCATTTCACCTCTCAGATAAATGGGCAAACTGAGAAACACCAGGGAGCTGCAAAGGGGGAAGACTTCACTTCAGAATGAGATGGGAAGAGTAAGAATTGAACATCTTCTGCACAGTAGGGAAAGAAACTGCTAGGTTGTCAGGCCGGAAGTCATAGTTCCCAGGGGGCTCAGGCCTTCCTTGTTCTCACCTGGCCTCCCTTTTCTCACCTCCAGAAAAAGTGTAAGAAGCACTGGTTTCCCCATTCAACCAGCAGAAAATTCTCAGTTGAACTGTGGAGTAACAGAACTCTAGGGGGAAGCGAGCCTCCACAAGGCCTCGGAAATCACTGTCTGGAAGGGAGAGCACACAGGCTGGCATCCTTTCGAACGCTTGGTCCCAGAAGCCCTGCGGCCACCCCCAAGGACTGCGGAGGGTGGACGGGGTGCTTTCAGCATCTCACTCGCTCCAAATTCACGCTAATTGTCACGTCTAGGTTTCTTCTCAAGAAGCCAAGACTTCAGGAGGCTGGTCTGATGTCTAACCAGACAGGGAAGGTTCAGGGGTGCTTCTCCCACGCAGGAAGGTAATCAGATCCAGGCCTCCTGCTTCCTAGATCTCTTTCCTTTGGTCTCTGTGGACCCTAGTGTCCAAACTCTTAGATTCTCAAGGCTCTCCCTTGGGCCTTGGGGCAGGATTCCCATTCTCTGCCTCTCTATCTCCCTGGAATTTTCCACTGCAGCTGCCTCCGCTCCCAGACACCCCTCCCTGGGCAAAATTCCCGGCTCCCTCCGCCTCCCCTTCCCTAATCACACCTCATTTCCACCCCCGGCCTTGAGGCCCAGCCCACAGTCCGGCCCACAGCCCACAGTAACCCCGGTGGTCCCAGTTAGAGAAATGGGAGGCCAGACCCTATGGAAGGGTGAAAGGGAGGGTCCCAGACTCTCTCCTGGGTGGGGAGAAAGGACAGTGGAGGGGCTGGTCCCCTGTGGGGCTGGAGTGGGGGGAGTGGCCCTCCTCAAATCCCCATATAAGGCAGGGCAAGCAGTTAGGCTCCTGGATTGGCTGATTCAAATGAGCATTCCACCTGGCAACAGGGTTTCTATTGGCTCTCGGGAAAAATAGGAGGAAGGTGGATGGAGGTTGTTGGTGGCGGTGATTGGAGGGGGGAGGGGAGTGGAGGTGACCGGAGTAGGGGGCGGTTACCAGGGCAACAGGGTAAGAGCCCAGCAGGGTGTCCGAGACAGCAGGCGGGGCTGGGAGGTGGAGAAGGGGGAAGAGGAAAGGAGGGTGGGAGGGAGAGGAAAGAGACTGGCGGGGAGGGAACGAGACAGGGAGACTGGATGGGGGGGGTAAAGGAGGGGGGAGAGGGAGAGAAATGTAGCAAAAGAGTACAGAGATAGAGAGGGTCAGAGATCGCTAAAGGCATCAGCGAGTGTGTCAGAGAAACAGAGACAGGAAGATGGAAAGATCTCAGAGAAAGATGGACAGAGTTCAGCAAGGAAAAACCTGGGTGGGGTTCCAAGATTTTTGAGGAGCCGGAGACTGAGAAACTGAGAGAAGAGTCAGAAAGAGAAATTGGGAGGTGTGTACACCAAGGGACCAAAAGACAGTGTCTTTAAGCACTCAAAGCCTACATGGTGATGACTGATCAGCTATGTCTTTTTTAAGAAAATGAAAATTTAAAAAATGATAGACAAAATATAGGAGTGCACACACATCAAAGATACCTTTTTCCAAACTCTAGCCTTCCACCCATTCCACCTTCCTGACCTTTGATACACACCCCAGCTCCTGTCCCCTCCTGAAACTCCAAGCTTCTCAAAATGACCCAAAGACACTGAGACCAACCAAGGGTGAGGAGCTGAGAGTGAGTGGAACAGTGTGGGCTGGAACCTCCTGCAAAGGAGGCAGATATAATCCAGGAAGGCTGGAGAAGATGGCAGCAGAAGAGAAATGCCAAGAGAGGGAAAATGTGGAAAATAAGGATCTTAAGAGGAGTTGAGGAAAATCAACTAATGATACAGGGCCAAGTGACAGACTCAGATAAGACAAGAACAGAGTGGTCCGGGAGAGAGAGGGAAGGCGATCAGAGATGGAAGGTAGAGGAGGGCAAGTGAGAAGTGGAGAAGCAGGGACAGAAGAGAGATGTGAGATTAGAAGTGGATGAGGAGGGATGAAGAGAAATTGAAGGACCACGCAAAGAAAAGTGAGGTGAGATGGGCAAACAGGAAAGGTGGAAGATGGAAGAGAAGACAGGAGATTAGAGGGCCTCTGACTTCCCTCAGACCCAGCAGAGGTCACAAATGTCAGCCTCGGGGAGGACGGGACGTCGGCTGCCCTTTTGGCTCTCCCATCCCCTCCCAAGGCCACCCAGAGAACGTAGATGCAGGAAGAGAGGGGAAATCCAGCGAGATGTGGAAGTAGCTCCCGACCTCTTCCTCCTCTCTAAGCTTTTGGTTTCTCAAATACCTGCCCGGCCTTTCCATCTGCTTCCCCCCACCCCATCACTTGGCAAAATCTCAGGGCTTTTGACGAGGGGTGGGGGGTGTCAGTCGGATCTTGGCCATCCCTCCAGTCCGCCCCCAAAAGACAGACTCCTCATACGCAGGCACTAGGTCTGGATTCGGAAAGGTCCCTCCCCGCACGAACCCCACCCCTTCCCACCTCCTCGCCCCACTCCTTTCTCCGCGACCGTCAGTCTCTCCATTTCCCCCTCCTGGTCTAGTCCTCCCTCCCGCCTCTCGCGCGCTCCCTCCCCTCGCTTTCATCCTCCTATCCCCACCTCTCCAACCTCCGCTTTCATCCCCCTCCCCTCTCTTCTCCTCCCCGCTCCCGC